CAAAAAAATATACGTATTTTGGAAATGTTGAGTCGAATTAGTCTAGAATCGATTAATTTTATGAAAGAAAACCTTTCAAACAGCCGTAGTCCGTAAACTATGATTCCTACAAAATTGATTCATAAAGAACGGAACGTATCTACCGTCTTATAGGGGGATCTACTGTATATAATAAACATACCAAACAATATGCCAAATTCTTGGGCTATATAGAGTCTATAATTAAATATTAGAAATTAATTAATTTGACTAGAGGTAGACAGTTATGCTGCCATCTTGTATTAAATTTAATGACCAATTCCAAATTAAATTTTAGAATGTCTAAATTAAAAATTAATTATTTATAATTATTAAATTTAATATGAGATGGCATCATAACTGTCTACCTCTAATCAAATTAATTAATTTCTAATATTTAATTATATCCTTTACATAGCCCAAGAATTTGGCATATCATTTGGCATGTTTATCAGATATTACCTGTAATTTTTTTTGTTTTCTGAAAAATCAAATTTGCATTTCAGGTCATTCTGTGCTAGAAGAAAAGATTAAGATGATTCAAGCTCCTTAACAATGTATATTGAACAATTTTCTTTAAATAAATGTTTTACATAAAATATTTGAGTATATTTTTTGGCATGGAACACATTATTGTATTTTACATTAATTTATATGGGAAAAATTGTTTTGCTTAATGTGTTTTGCATTATGAGTAAGATTCTGGAAGGAATTATGTTCGTTAAGTGAGGTTCCACTGAATATTTATAGATGCAAAAATGTAGGACAAATAAGTTGGTATTTAATGTAAAATGACACAAAGACAGATTATCCATTTTAAATTTGAAATAACATCATTTTCTTATTTTTATTTTAAGAAATTTATCAAACAAATTGTGAAAATCTGACTCTTTTAAGAGAATTTTTATTAAATAAGTAGCAAGTTATATTTCTTTCATCATCATTNAACTTATAATTTAGAAGGTAATTTTCGTTTTTTAAATAAAATATAATACAAAATATTGTAAACTTTTATAAGATTTTAAAAAGCAAAAATGATCAATACTTTAATCACTCAATCGAATTCTTATTTTAATAATGAAAAGTCTTGCTACCGAGATTGCCCTTTCCAATTCAATTGATGTGATTGGAATCATATTTAATGCATTTAAGAGAAGACAGATATTATGTGTTTTTTCACCTGTAGCCTGGAAGATTTCTAGTTTGTTTTTGAAATTGTAGTACTTCTTTTGCTCTAGTATTCTTGATTTGTCTACCTCGGCTGCTTTAATAGCAGCATCAAGCTTATAGCTCAGTAATTCGGCAATTTGTTTGGCTTTAATAATCAAGTTTATGAAGAAAAACTTCATACTTGCAGACTTCATACTTGTTTGTGTGAGCGGCTCATCGAGGATAATGAGTACTCTGACTTCAGTATCACTTAATCGGCGACACTTTATTTCTTAGAATAGCCCTCTGTTGTCTAAAGGATGGGTTTCCATTCAAAGAAAGTCGAGTGTGGAGAGACTTACAGATTGAAGGTTAATGCAAAGCGGGATTAGAGGATTTCGTAATCACTCGTTCCCTCGTCAGGATTCCCGACATCAGTTAATCAATTTTGTGATACGCGGATTAACACGTGTATTGAGATGATCCAGAAATGCATCTCTCGGGGTGATTCAGCTATGAGGAGACATTCTTTAACAATGATAAAACAAAAATTTAATGAACAAAATAACAAAAATCATACAAAGTGGAATATTTAATCTAAACGTATCGAGAGAGAGAGCTCACAATTTTTTATCATAATCATACTATCTCTGGATACTTTTTCTCTTCTTCATGTATCTTTAATGAGGGACTTCAGTCTTTTCTAGGCAGATCTTGCCTGGCACATATTTATAGGTTTTCTTCCCTATTTACTGACCTATCGACACACAGGAGTCTAATATGGGCGTTGGCCTTCAGGAGATGATCTGAAATACGTCTGTCTTCTAGGAGATCTTCTGGTGTACTCCCCGAATCATGCAAAATTCTTCCTATTTCTCACAATTGTTCTCCAATCAGCATGTTGGATTCTCTCATGTGAACAGAGGAAAAGGGGATTTATCAAGGGGATAACAATTCCCAGGGTGACTAAGATTTTAGCAGATAAGGGGAAAACAAAAGGATGTTTCAACTTCCGTTGCAGGAAGTGTCTTTTATCAGTTTCCCTTGTTTAGAAAAACCTAATTTTCCAAAATCAAAGAATATTCTTCATTTAAAATTAAACTTTTTAATTAAACTATTAATTAGTCACAGGAGTTATTCAGATCTCACATTTGTATCCTTGCCCAATTTGCACAACCTGGCGTTACACAGTTATTTAAGCTACTGGGCATAATTAAAAATTAAGACAGTATAAGCACAATTACTTCAGAGTCCTGCCACATATAAGCTACATATTGATTATTGACCATTTGTGACATACCATAATGAGCAAAAATTAAAAAAAACTAATAACTAGGTTTAAAATTAATAAATACAAATGTATTCTGACAGTGTATGAGTTAATTATGCTTTCTATTTGCAAAATTCCTCAACCTTAACACAAAATAAGAAAAAAGTGAATTTTTAAGAAATTTGTGGGATTTCCCAGATAAAAAAATTTTCCTGGAATATTTCCCGGTTAAAAAAAAACAACCAGGATCCCAGAATCCCATTTGAGAAACCCTAATATAAAGTATGTCTTTGAAAGTACTAGTAATTTTTAATAAGTACATGTTTTTAATGTCAGTTAACTATGATTTCTCTCCCATATAACAAATTACTTTACTTTCTGTTTTGGAGTATAAAATTCAAAATATATTATATCAATTTTATTCATATGTATTATAAGAAATTTCATGAAAAAGATTATAAAAAATTTTATGATCATTGTCATAGAGTTATTAATTCAGTTGGAAGTCCTAATTAATTAATAATTAAAATTTGACATTTAAATTGGTATCAATTATTTTTCTTTGTTCTCAAATATTTTATAGTATCTATAATTTATTTTTTAATTTAAACAAAACTATATGATTTCTTTACAGGACAGAAAGTTTTGCAAAGCATTCTAAGAATTTTAATGACAAAAATCTTGAAGAACTTGAAGAAAATAAATGTTATAAATTAAAGTTGTGGTCCAAATCAGGTATTTCAAAAGATTTTTTTTTTTTTGTGATATATCAATAATAATGATCATAAATGATATTTATGCTGATAGAAAACCTTAAATTCCAAAACTTATTCAAAGGAATAATTATATACAATGTAATAACAGTTAAACTATCAAGTGTTACAGTTTTTTGTTGTAATTTTTTGTCTAAAGCCCCTTTATTTTTTTTTAAATAATTAATATTGTCTTAATATCAATGCTCTTTATGTAGAAATTATCTTCCTGATATTTTCTATTTTAAAATGTTTTTTTTTTATATAGAATAATGATAGATGATGCTTTATATTTTTGATAAAATAACAGGCTAAAAACTTTTTGCCAGTCTGCAAACATTTTACGAGTCTGACGTGTCTAAAAGTTCTGGGAAACATTATTATAAAATATATATTGTAACTTAAATTATTATAATACACTTATCGTATGCATTTTAGTTTAACTATTTTTCTCAAAATAAACAACATAAAATTATATTTTTATGCTGCTTATTTTATTATTTTTGTGTATAATATATTTTATAGATTAAAATTTCAAATGGTATAAATTATATGAGATGAAAAGATGAAATGTTTTGAAGAGCTCAATAGTTCTGCTTGTTTATATTTTTAAAAATTGATGTAAGGATGTGGAGAATTGAGCCCAAACATTATTTTATTTTCTGAAGTCATTATATTTTTTTGATTCTTTACTTATTTTTTGGGGAGTTAATATTGTTAAAAGGGCAAAAAATCTGCATCCTCCATTAAAAATTAATCTCAGTTAATAACTGATAGCTTTATTCCTGGCCTGCTGACTTAAACGTAGCAGACCCTAACTCTAAATGCACAGTGAGTTGTTGACCTTTTATTATTATTATTTTTTTTTTTTAGGTGTCAGAATTTTTCATCGAGCTATTTGGACTTCAGTAGCTAATATTGAAAGATTGTTTGCGGGCCACATAAATTCATTAGACGGGTTGGATCTGGCCCGGGGCCATATGTTAGCCATGTCTGCCCTAACCTGTTATAGCTTAAGTCAGCAGGTCCCAGTCGAAAATGGCATTTATGATTTGGTGAATTAAAAAATGGTCATTAGATGGTTATGTCACAGGATAATTTAATTAACGTAATAGTAATAATGTTTTGTCATATATATATATATATTATATGGGAAAACTGTTGGTAAGTAAGAATAATAAAGTAATTGTTAGTAAATAAGTATGTAAATGACATTAGGAAATGTGACATCACATTTAGTGCTTAAAAGACTACAAAAAAAGCTTTTCAACAAATTGTGCAATTTTCAACAAGTGCAATTTTCAACAAATATTGAAAGCATTTCAATTGTGATGAAGTGTGGTTACTTTGAGAAAAGTAGCATTTAGCATTTATAAGTTTGATATTATAGAATTGTGTATTGGAGGTGGGGATTTAGATTTAAATTATAAGAGGCATTTCTTTTTAGATAAAAGCTCTTAATTCTTTTTTCTTTGTTTCTGTTGTTCAAATTAATCAGTATTTGTTCAGAATTAAGTAATTTTCATTTTACACTTACTGTTGTAAATACTTAAAGTGTTAATTAAACTTTAATAACAGAAACTTGCTAATTGTTATAAATTAACTATTGCAGTTTCATGAACATTAAACTTTGTTGTTAATAAGTCTTGTTTTAATTAAATTTTGGACTTTTATTATCTAATAAATTAGGTAAGGCCTGGATTGATGACCTTGTAAAGAAATTGTTTGAAATTGAATAAATTCTTTTGTATTTAATTAATTTCTTCAAACTCAAACATAGATTTTAAAAAAATTCTTATTGCTTTTCAATTTGACCAATCTTAGGAATTTATATTAATATTTGACTTTATTTAATTAATCAAATCAAACAAAAATTAATTCTTATATTGTCTGTGATGGTCTTGAACAATAGAACAAGAATGGAAATTAAAAACAATTAAATTTTAACATTGATTTAAATCTGAATGAAAATATTGACATAAAATTATTAGTATGAATAAAATTAAGTTAAAATATTATAAATTCNTTACATCTTCATAAATTTTATCGTGAAAATATCGAACAAATTTTTTTGTTGTATTTATATTTAACTTAGGCATTGGTCTTTCTCTTTTTGAAATAAATTTTCAATATCACAATTACATTCTAAATTACTAGCCATAATATAAGGGCTAAAATAAAAAATAAAATTATAAAAACTTACTTGTTAAAATAAAATGTGTTATGGATATACAATTATACATACCTGGTACAAAATATTCAGTTGTATGAATATACTTTTAAAGAAAATTATAAATATAGTTTTGTAAAGAAACGTATATAAAAATAAGATAAAATAGTCTTTACTTTTTAAATATTAAAACAATCCACCTAGTTAAAATTGTTCCCTACCAGTGGCTCGTGGATGGAATCAGAGTCGGTCTTGGTAGGTGTGCGGTGCGTGCATGCTTGCCAAATCCCGAGGGTGCCGATACCGGTTAACGTCTTTTGTCGTATCACTAGTATATCTCAAAGGACGCGACAGGGTTGTTGTAAATTTTAAACGTTTCTCANACAAAATATTCTTCAATTGTATGAATATACTTTTAAAGAAAATTATAATTAAATATGGCTTTATAAAGAAACGTACATAAAAATAAGATAAAATCTTCTTTACTTTTTAAATCTTAAAACAATTCACTTAGTCAAATAGCTCCCTACGAGTGGCTAATGGATAGAATCAGAGTAGGTTGCAGTGCATGCATACATGCAGGCAGCAAAATTCCGAGGGTGCCGATACCAGTCAATGTCAAATGCGTCTTTTGTCACATCACTAGTATTCCTCAAAGAACAGGGTTGTTGTAAATTTTAAACATTTCTCACCATAGCTGTAAAAATCTAAATTTGTTAAAGTTAATAGTCATTTGTTTTCTAACTAATTCGTTTTAGGACCAGATGTCCACAGAAATTTCCAAAATTTACAACTTTTCAGTCACTCTCATTGAACTGGAAAAATTTTTTTAAGTAAAATTCTGGCTCTTTCAGCAGGATTTTATTTATGTCCCCAATTCTCAAATCTCTTAATTATTTAACTACTTCTTAAGTAGAAATAAGTTGAAACCAGTTACTCTCAATAAGTTGAAACCAGTTACTCAGTTACTCAGTTGAATATTTGTAGTCTCAGGAAAAAAGTGGAAAGAAATTTTTATGACAACAGATACATAAATCATATATTTAAGGAAAATAAATTCTAGAGCTTTTTCTGTACCTCGTGCATCTCTCTCATTCATTAAATGTAGTTGTAAATGATGCTCCCAAAGTAACAGTTAATTTTTTAACATTGTACAAGAATTGCATCCTCTTATAGATGGGACATATAAAATCGTAATATCACTGGTTTAACATTGAAATCCATAAGTAATATAAGATGGGAGAGCAGAATAAAAATATCAAATATTTTAATGGATTTTTTTTAACTCCTGTCAACTATACAGAACTATCATAAAACATACCAGTAAATTCGTATCGGTTGGGTTAAGTTATAAATCTACTTGTGATTCACATAATCTGGCAAGGGCGGCCAAATATCTATCAGGCAGGCAGCTAACAGCCCAGAACCAGTCCTGGATAGAATTGGATGCAGTATACGTGTAGCATCCACCCAAGGCCCTAGGCTTCCGCCAGCTAAACCGGGTGAGGTTGGTGCTCTGTAAAGCGCACGCACAAATCTGGCTTTTTTGGATGCTGACAATGAAGCGCTTCCACTCCGCCGCTAATATTTGAATATACAATAGCAATCTTATTTTTTTTCACATGTAGTATAGAAATTTGTAATAAGATACCTAATGCGGTTATAATAAAATATTGTGCAATTATTTTCATATAATTAAAATTAATATGTATTTATTTTTTAGAAAATACAAGGGAAGCGGCACATCCACCTCTTCCAATGATGGCATGCCACTGCGTCATACCATCATCTACTAATTCCTTTTCTTATTTTATGAAAGGTTCAGGCAGTTGTATGAATGAATATACATAAGGCAACAAAGAGACAAGCAATATGAATAAAATCCGTTTTGTCTCTCTTTGTTTCTGTAAAAACTATATAGTGGAACCTCACTTAACAAGTACTGTACCTCACATAAAGAGCAAAACAAATTGTAAAAAAAATGGTTGCTTAACGAGCAACATTTCACATAACGAGGAGAGGGAAAGTACTGGATTGTGCTCATGTGCCATCAGTCTGTGTTTAGAACTTGTTCTGCTAGCATGTTAGTGTAGCTTGTAATCACACATTTTTCCAAACTTGTGTTCACACATATTACATATAAATATCAACAATCATAGCCCATTACAGTAGATCCCCCTATAAAACCGTTTCCTATAGTTATGATTCCTATAAAAATTGTGGCAGTATCCGTAAACAACGGTAAAAATAACTCCTATAATACGTAAAACGTCATCGGGCAGCCGAACTACTTTCCCGCC